CAGAGGTCTCTTCCTCTCCAAAGAAATGGACCCAGGGATTTAAACCGCTAAAAGCACTGGAAAAAAGCAGTTTCATTTTAAAAATCAGTGTTTTTCCGATGCTGTTCAGCTAGTCATGGAGGAGGCGCTAACTACAGTGGCAGATGCATAGATGCTAATATGTTAAGATGCAAAAATGTGAATGATCCTACCTAGAGCCACAGTTTGGTGTGTCCGTTCTGGGCTACTGTAGAAACATGGCGGACTCTGTGGATGAGGACCTGCCCTGTATGTGGACATAAACAGCTCATTCTAAGGTAACAAAAACGCAACTATTCTTAATTTCAGGTGATTATAAACTAATGAAAACATACATAATATTTTGTATTCCATCTCTGCCATATAAATCCTACACACTGGACCTTAATGTCTTAGCATGCTTCTCCCCAAAAATCTTCAATGAAATTTCCTTAAGTCAGACAGGGGGGTAAAAAAAGCAGGCCCCTAAGTTGTGCACTCAAACATCAAGCCTCAGGTGGTTCTCCAAAATGCAGCATGATGAATACAGTTGAATTGTGCCTTCAATATTTATTTGCGGTGGTCCAATGCTGTTTAAAGGACAACTTCGGTATTTTTCAACCTGGGCTCTATTTCCCCATGTGTATGTTTACGTATGATTCATGGGTACCACTCGTTCTAAAATTGGTTCAGTATTGAGCTGCGAAACGAGCTAAAACGGTAATGGGGGCAAATGCGTCCCGTATAAAAGTGCTTTTTTTCGCCACTGACCGGTTCAGATCGCCAGTGCTATCTCTGTAAATAGCATATGGTAGCGGCCCTGGGGCAGTGGTGAGTGTGAATGAGTGGAGTCAGCTGTCAGTCAGTGTTGGAGCAGAAAGGCGGAAGTTGTCCCTGCTCGGTATTGTAAATGAGTATGTGTGTGTGAAGTGTGTGTTTTTTCGCCACTGACCGGTTCAGATCGCCAGTGCTATCTCTGTAAATAGCATGCTAACTTAGCCTTTCCCTTACCTCTTGGCTTTGTGATGTCATGAGCTTTGCTCCACTGTGTCTGTAGCTCTCTCTACTCGTGGGACAGCCGTTTTCTTGAAGAAGAGGTGTTTCGGGATTGGATGTCTTCTCTTCTTCGGCTGGCAGTAGTCATCTTGGGAGAAGTGAGCACTGCAGACCCGATGGTCTGCAAGGCGCAGTGTCTGGACAGGAGTATTAGCATCCATTTGTAGCACAACTAGCCACAACTTCAGCATCTCGCCGTCCGACAAAGGCAGCCTATGAAAGCTGTACGGGGTGTTGCGCAACATCCTGTTCTTGCGTTCGGGAAAAATGCCCGTTTATTTGAGCACTCCAAAAACTCCGGTAACACTCCAGGGGGTAGCACGTAAAAGACTCCATCCTCTGACTCTTCTAGCGTAACACACACTTCACACACACATACTCATTTACAGTACCAAGCGGGGACAACTTCCGCTCCAACACTGACTGACAGCTGACTCCACTCATTCACAGTCACCACTGCCCCAGGGCTGCTACCATATGCTATTTACAGAGATAGCACTGGCGATCTGAACCAGTCAGTGGCGAAAAAAGCACTTTTATACGGGACACATTTGCCCCCATTACCGTTTTAGCTCGTTTCGCGGCTCAATACTGAACCAATTTTAGAACAAGTGGTACCCATGAATCATACGCACACATACACATGGGGAAATAGAGCCCAGGTTGAAAAATACCGAAGTTGTCCTTTAAGTGATGATTAGGTTTATCAATCCACCATTCTGACTCTGCAATGCTTGTGTGAAAACCCATTTCTGCCCCCTTCCTGCTTATCATTCATGCCTCCTCTGTACAGAGGCAGTGTCGGTCACAGCAAAGGCCCCTAAATGGACTCCAGTCTTGGGAGCAATGCATCTTCATCTCACTTCTTCACACTCCAGAAAATAGGCTAATCGCCGGCCCACCACTCAACCCACTAATCTCTAAAAACTCACATTTACTGCAGAGTTCTGGCACCTGTCTTATCTGAAGAGAGAGGGGGGGATCCTCTCAGTGGAGAAGTCAGTGTTACCTTTGGCCTCAAAATTATAGTAAAACCATGGCTGATAGTAAATTTGCTCATTTTAACATAAACAGGGAGTTCATGCGAGAGAGGTGCTAGGAAACAAGGCCGTGGTAAATATTTCCTCTGTGGGCTCCTTCTTCTCTATAATTGAAAGGTCAGCCTCTGATATCAAAGTTCATTCATGCCTGCAGATGCTGTGTGTGTATGGCATACTGTTTGTGTCATATGTCAAATCTAAAGGCTACATAAACAATCCCCATACTGAGTCACTGAGCCAATATCTTCGATATCTCCTAATGGTTTTAACAGAGCTGCCAATTACACTCACCTGACCCCCCTAAGGGCTGAAATCCTCGGTCCTTTGTCTCTTTGATGCTGCGAACAGAGGAGATTCCTGCAGCCACCGCTCCCTCAAGTGGCAATAATAAGTCACTCCTCATGAGCATTATTATCATGCTGACTGATTTGTCTTTTGCCTTTAGGCCCCAGGAATGATGGAAGCTCTGGTGGCTCACTGAAGCCCCCATGTGGACTGAAGTGGAGATTTTCTATATCAAAGGTGTCACATGAGGAGGTCTCTGGTCTCGTCTGCAGCTCAGAGATAAAACTTTCCATGACAGGAGTGGACACAGACATTTTTTTAAAATGATCTGATGCTGGAAAAGCCCAGTGAGTCAAACTGAAAAATAGCAAAGAATCATGTTTCACTGCAGCACCAGCAGTTTAGATTTCAGGAGTTTTTGTAAAAAGAAAAAAAAAAAAAAAAAAAAGCCATTTACTTCCTTTTCATAAATCTGAAAGAAACACTGGATGTGTCATAATCTTTGTAAACAGATATCTGCATACACATGCAGAGGCTGTAGGCAACAGGACAAGATTTTGGTATCAGAAGTGTTTTGGTTTATGTTTTTAGTCTGAGAAGAATTAATCACATTTTACAGCAGATAAACAGTCCGTGAGGAGTGGCAGAATTGGCTGGGATGCAGTCTTGGAACCCACTGGCTAACAGTCTGACATCAATCTATCTTCATATTAGTTTTTGAATTTGTTTTTAATTTATCTCCATTCATATGCAGATATCTGTTTATAGAGCATAGCCATAATGAGCGGCACATGGAGGAGTAGGTCTTGGCCCAGATATCTGCTGGTAACACCGGATCAGCCAGAATTGACCATATTTGGGCGAGAGGCTGGCGCTATGGAGGAGCAAGGTGTGAATCTGACTGTTAAGCCAAGGACACTATTGGCAAACAGCCTGTTACTCAAAGCAGCCACGCCCTTAGTTATGTGTAACTTTAAGCCTTTAACATGTCAAAAGGTGAGTTATATAAAATTCAACCCTGTACACTTGTTATGAAGAAGTAACTTAGCTGAAAAGACCAAAACCATTTTTTATACCAGGCTGTGAACGTTTATTTCTGCTGTAAAGTTGGACATTTTACCATTGTTTGTTGAGCCAGCCTCAAGTGGTCAGTCAAAGAACGGCAGTTTTTGGCTGCTTCCTTCTAGACCTCGTTTTTCAACCTTGGAGGTTTCCGTTTGATTTCAAGATTGCTTGTGAAACAGCACGGCTAATGAACAAATATTGCAAATAGAGGTGTGTGTGTGTGAAGCTGGTCTGTACTGGTGATTGTGACAATAAGTACACTATTCACTATCAGGCCTACTACAAAGGAGGCACTTCCCACCATCCTGAGGCTGAGTTCACATATACACTAGTATTTTTAATGCATTTTGGCCTCCTGTCCACATGCAACCACCGTTTTAGGTCACTGAAATCAGATATTGAACTGTCCGGGGTGAAGATTTTCAGAAAATTACTTTTCATTGTTGACATGTAGATTGAGAAAACTTAGTTTTTTGCTCGTAACATCAGAGTAAGTGATGTTATATCCTTTGTGAGGCATCACAACATTTCGTTAAGTGGTGGATGTGGCCAAAACTGTGCTGGCTCTAACCTTGCTAACAGGACTTTCATGTTTATACATAAGTGTAGTTATTTCTCCACTATTTTGAGGAATGGAGGCGTTACAGAGGACACTACTCCAGGCAGCCTTCCACTAATAGCTTATTTTTCCAGGCTTCTGATTGGCCAACATCTTCTTTTCCTGTTCTTCTCTGCACTCTTTTAGGATTAAAGTTACACCACTTACTGATTTGGCTTGCTCTCCACAGTGCTTCAGTCGTGTTTATGTGTTTAAATTAATTTATAACAGTGCTTATGTGCATGTTAATTTTTTTGAGAACCAATGGGGAGAACCCTGTTTTCAAGCCTGAGTGAGCAGGAACATCTGAACACCACCTGCTGCGAGTGAGAGTCAATGAAAACTAGCAGGTGAGCACAAAGGTCAAAAACTCGCTTTTTAGAAGTGGATAAACAGTTAAAATCTAGCTTCTGTCACTCTTAGTGGTAGTATTGATGCAAACTCAACCGAACCTACTGTAACAGCATGCTGGTGCTGCAAGCTAGCATTTACTCAACTAGATGCTAACATCCGCATGTTTATTAGTGATGTTTGCCACGCTGAACAGGTTAGCAGACCTGTTAGCATTTGCTAATTAGCACAAAACGTACAAAAAAATGTTTGATGGGAAATGTTAAACTCATGAGCATTGTTTTTATCCTGAATTAGTTTTATCCAATGTTTTATTGTGCTGTTTTAACCTGAATTTAAAAACCTAACTGAGGATGGTGGCTGCAAATTAATCTCAGCTAGATGCCTGTATACATCTGTTGTATTGCTCCTTGTGTAACAATCTAATCAATCTAATCTCATTTAAGAAAATCCTATCTGATATCCATTCAAAGAAAAATATTTGAAACAGAACAGCTGGTGTTGATTGAGCTCTTCTAATGGGGATATAGTTTTATGAAAAACGGTTGGGAACAACTGTTTTACTGCTGACACAATGTAAAACATTATTCTGGACACAATCATAAAACTACAGACTGTGTGGCATTGCTTTATTCTGTTAAATGAAAAACACAAACTATATTCACAGCTCAGCTCTGTACACTGCAATGCAGGAAATCTACATGACTTTTCTTTCATGAAACCACACGGGCCAAATATAACTCTCTATTTCATTTAAATAAAAGAACTCAGGATGCTCTCAGTTAAAGTCTGTTTGTTTTAAACAGTGTCCATCACTCAGGCTTCAGCTCATTTTCAGCCTCTTCATTTCTACGTTGTGTGCCGCTGCCTCCTCCTGGTCTCTTTTGGCACCTCGGCTCTCGTCGGCCGTCTTCTGCTCACTGTTCACCTCGGAGCTGCTTCCTCTTGGATTTTTCAGCTCCCTCCTCTCTCTTCTCTCCTCCATCTCACCAATCTCCTCAGCGAAAAGGGTTTTAAGTGCAGGAATCAGCTTGGGGAGAATTTTAAAGTCTCCAAAGCGAGTCTGAGCAAAGAGGAAATGGAGAAAATGGTCAAGTGGCTGTAACAGGTCTGAATTATTACTCCTAAAAGCAGTGAGGCTCATAAATACTGTGGCAGAGTCTTAGCCTACAACTAGCTTCTGTTCGGCCTTACATCTTAAAAGAGAGGATCTTTGTTTATTTTAGTTTGCATTTGAAAATAAAGTCAAAAATGTTGAGGAAAAAGGTCAAACCTTCAGCATTAGTGCCAGGCATAAGAAAAAATATATCAGAGGAGGAAGTTTATTTAATTTTATTTGTACATTTTGTAAATGAAGTCAAAATAGCCCACTTATTACATTACACACTGTTTATGTGCTCAAAGAGAAGTAAATTCCTTGTTACTGAAACTGAATTTGAAGTACAATTTCACCAATTCTTCTACACAAGGCATTTTGTCAAGGCAGCCATATGCGCTAAAGCTTGTAGTTTGATTTATTCTCCAAAGTTCAGCTTTACTCCTGAAAATGTCAAGTTTATTGTTGACATTTTGACATTGTTCTCAAAATGTCAAACAACCCAAATAAATCTTCCTCTTCATTATTTCCCTTATGCTTGGCCCTAAACTCTTCCATACTGTACCAATGAGCTAGCCTTTTTTGAGTATTATTTTGGAGCTTAGTTTGGACAACGTTACTGTACTGTAGGACGCCCAAATAACATCTCATTTGAAACGATCTCAAGTCTCTACAGCTGCTGCAACGGCACAACTGAGAAGGATTTGAAAAGGCAAAAGAAAACATTTTGTTACTACTGATTAATGCAACAAAGTTTCATATTCATTACAAATAAACAAAAACATCAAAGTTCATTATTGGCCTTGGAACTAGACAACGCCAACACAGAGTCAATTGACCAGCTTTTTGCAGTGTTTAAACTGTATCACTCAGTCTTCACCAGATCAACATACAGCTGACAGCTCAGGGAGAAGTTAGTGAATGTGCCTCAACTGGGATTTATTTGTCAAATTAAAGTACTGTTGATTATTTTGGATGATTTTTATTTATTTATTATTCATATTGGTGTATTCCTGTTGGTAATTTATTTATGGTGCCTTTTATGGCTTGACTGTACAAATGATTCCCTCTTGGGCTGAACATTTATCAACCCAGAGTAAATGGGTTTTTGTTACCTTAAAATGAGCCGTTTATATCCACACTGGGAGCAGGTGCTGGTATACAGAGATCACCATGTTGCACTGCCATTTTTCTACAGTAGCCTTGAATGGACAAACCAACAGGCTCTAGATAGGGCCATTTACATTTTAGCGTCGGCCACTGTACTAAACAGCCCCTCTGCAACAATAGAGCACCGGAAAACACCGATTTTTTTCTTTCAACGTGAATCCGTTTTATTCTGTGTTTTCACTGGTTTTAATCACCTGGGTCAGTTTGTTTTGGAGAGGAGGAGACCTCTGTGGCTAATTTGGCTCGCGGTAAAAACCTCCTCAACAATGAACACTGAAGGGATTCTAACCAGGAGAAGTTACAGCTGGTTGCAATCTGCAATCCTCACAGCTAGATGCTCCCTAAATCTTACATACTGTTCCTTTTAATATCCATTTCTTTTATCATCTATTTAGATCTGGTATTGTGTGATTAAAGAGTATTTAAACACCCAAACCACTTTTTTTCAGCTGAAAATCAATGTATATGGGTATTTTGTAGAGGTGCTGATGGATTCAGGTCCACATCTTGACATTTTAGTGCAAAGTATTTGAGCTCTACATATCGTGCTCTACCCGTTAAACATGGCTATTAGAACTGACTTTTGCTATTGGCGGCAGGTGACAAAGGAGTGACTGGCGTGTCTTAGCCTCGCCTCCCAGCCCTACACATGTTGTATAAAAAAAAAAAAAAAAAAAAAAAAAAATCACATTTAAGATGCATTTTCTGAATTTCCAGAGTAGGGGCACTTCAGCCAAAACTCTGGCATTTAGTTACTCTTAAAAGATTCTCACCATTTGATACCAGTTTTTGCTACTGGTACACATCATGTTCTCTATTAAAAGCCCAAGATATATACGCAGTGTAAAGCAAGTGAGACCTTTGTTGAAAGGGTGTTCAAATGATGCATTCAGGTGCAATTATAGAGACCACAAAAATAATTCCCCACGTAGAAATTAGTTTGTCAATACACTGCAGCAGCAGAGAGCTGTCAGGTGTTTTTTAAAACATCACAATGCAGCTGTGACATGCCTCCAGTCGGCAGTGATTAGGATATTACATGTGCATTAATATTGTTGTCTACAGTAATACGTACTCTCATGTGGTCGAACGATATCCCCACTCTGTCACTGAAGTCTTCACTGAAGAGAGGGATCTTGGCGTAGCGCTGGCTGAAGTGGTTCAGCATGATGAACTCAGCGTTCATCCTCATGCCGATACCAATGGCCTGGGAGGTTGTGCTGTCAGACAACATGAAGCATTAGGTCAGAGATTGACGGCTTTCTCACAAAACCTGCCTTTTTAGTGTGTCAGAGGGAAACTGTCGACAGAAATATTGTTTTCTATGGACATAAAAGATGTTTTTGTGAAGACTGACGCTCACTCTGGCACCATAAAGATACAAAAATCAATGACAATATCTGTGGAGAGTAAAGAAATTTACCAGTGCACTCAAAAATAAGTGCAACCTCAAACAGCCAATAAGGGACATTTCTTTTCTTAGCTAAAAACTTTCCTTTTCTCATCCTTTTCATTTATTTGTGTAAACAACATTAAAGCCCTGCAGAGATAGTTGGTGCTACAGTTTATTTTACCTACCTGTGTCTTTTCTCTACAGCCTCCTCCTCCAGCCCGTCCTCCAGTGTGGCCTCGTGGATCAGTAAGGTTGCATTCTTTCCTGCAGAAAAGCAACAACAACAAAAAAAGCCGAATCAGTTGCCTGACTCACAGAGAAGCACTTACAGCCTCTTCCTGTCCCACAGGAAATCAATCAGGTAGTCGGCGTAATCAAGATTTGGCACGCCCTGTTTGTCTGCTGAGCTGAGCCATCTATAATGAACAGACATGGGATACACTCGCTGTCTCTTTGGAGGCTTTGCTTGGACAGAATCCAGTCAAGCAATTTAAGAAGAGTCAATGAAGTGGGATCCCACAGGAACCATTAGAAGATCCTGCCAGCTACAAGAGTGATCGAAAGCATTAAGAAATATCTGATAAATTATTCAGATACAACCCGTGTAGTCAAGCTACAGTTAGATGACCTCATATGAATCTCTGCAATATTGAAAGTGTACGCTCAATTTGCTTTAACATACAGTTAGTCTTTCTAGATACACTTCAGTGAAATGTGGACTTTAATCATTGTGAGTGGTACTGACCGGTGTGTACGAACGCATCGGAGGGCATGGTGTCACCAGAGAAGGCCAGTTTCCAGCCGGACTGGTGAGTGAAGCTGCAGGCGAAGGCGTTTTTGCAGTGACGCACTCGACACGTCTGGAACTGAGACACATAGAATCAAAATGATAAGTAAAAAAAACAACAGAAAGCCGTTATTATTGAAGGATGACGTGCTGTTAAATCACCTTTTCCAAATCATTCTTCTTCAGCATTGCTTGGATTGAAGACTCTGTCCTCTGATCCGTCACCTTAGCATCCTCACACAGAAATCTGTTTGGGATAAGGCTGAAACAAAAACAGGTGACATTAAAGACATCAAGCTCACAAAATTAAAAATCTACAGCCATGTTAGATCATGTTGTTTGCTTGATTAAAGGGTTCATTTTTGTACAGTCAGTGGTGGAAAATAACAAAGTACATTCACTCAAGTGCTGTACTTCAGTACAAGTATTTGTTACTTGACAGATGAAAACTTTCCCTGAAACATGTGATAAGCTCATAAAATACAATGTGTTGTTAAAGACACACACACACAAACACACACACACACACACACAGACTAAAAAAATTTACCAGGTGTTACTCTTGACTCAGCAGCCACTCTTGAGTGGAACATAATGACACTGTGTCCCAGCAGCAAACAAGCATCTGACTATTGCACTGCATCACGTTACATCAGAGCTCTCTGTCCACACTGAATCCATTAAACCTGCACCTCTGTTACATCATGTAAACAAACATGTAGCTATCAGCTGTACGCTTGAGTTCAGACTGGAGATGTAACAACTTAACAGATGGGTGAGAAGCCAACTAGAAAATACAAGTTTTATATTGTGATATTTACTAGAAAACACACACATTATAGCCAACAGTAAGTAGTTTAGTTTGCTATTAGCGATGGTAATTTACCAGAAACTCCCTGGCGATCTCCCTCTAGCCAGCTGCCATCTTAGTTTTGTTTTTTTTTTTGCAGTCAATAAGGAGGCATAGTGCAAATAATTCCTTATTTCAGCGTCATTAGTCAGCCGTGTCTCGTCCATTGTGGCAAAGCAAGCGACAGGAATACACAGAAGCAGAGCATCTGACAAAAGTTAATCTCTAAACGGCACACTGCATCACTCGAGATTTTTGGGTAACCTCTTTTGTCTGATTCAAATAAAAAATGTTGTCATACTGGTGCAGTTTTAGTTTTCTCATCTGTTCACCCTAAAAAACTCATGAAGTTTCTAGTAAACAAACACGAGTAATGCTCCTCCACCTTCCACCTCTATTGAAATCCGACCCTCCCTCATGTTGCCGTGCTCGGCTCACAGCCTGTCACACACTTGTGGCTTTGTTATTCTGTTAAAATACATAATATTGTGTTACTCAGATTGTCATAAAGCTGATTGCTAATGCAATACAAGTTGCATTTAGCGCTGTGACACCATCAGCAGAGGTTGCTGATTTACACTTAATTTGCCAGAACATGTCATAATGACAATTAAGGTTCAGCCAGTTTGCATAAAATCAAACCGGTTTAAGCGCATTAACTAGACTGGCAAAACCGGACATTGATCCAACTCTAACCTCGGAACATAAATGTTAAGTCTGTGCTGTCCTCTTGAAATGTCTTTTTGTCCACGTACTTGATATGGTGGAGAATCTCCTCGCAGTGATTGTGATACTGGTGGAGCCAGGACATGATGTCGGCGGGGGCCACCAGGTAGATGGGGCGGAATGCTTTTCCTAACGTCGTCTAAGAGACACCAACCAGTGATAATTGATTTTTATTTTTAAACATTAAACAACCAAAGGAAACAATGCATCAGGATTTATGTAACCTTTTCTTCTACATACCAGTGCTCTTTCCCTCTGATACAGCAGCATCAGCAGCCCCTAAAGCAAAAGAAAAAAAGAACATCAGGTTAGTGGTTCTGTTGGAGCAGCTCACTTCACTTTGAATAATCTGGTATTTCATATATTTAAACAACAATATGGTTATCATGTGTAGCTGCTTACTGTGTGGTGGTCTGCGTGCATGTGTGAGATGAAAACAGTTGAGATCTTGGACAGTGCTTCATCCAAAGTGTCCCCGTAGTGTCTGCAGAGCTGACCGAAGGTTCCCTCTCCACAGTCCAACAGCAAGGACTGACTCGGGCTACATGCAAGCACAGACAGATTGGCATGAGGACGAAAACCATTACCGGACATAAACCGAATGAGTGCATATGCAAAAAAATCTCATGTCTCACAGGGCAACATGGCGTCCAAAAGTCTTAAATAATACAAAACATATCAAAGTGCCTTTTGGGAATATAAATACACTCAGCGCTCAGGGGTGTTTCCATTTTTTCCACCCCATTTATATCATTAAGGGTAGGCTAGACAACAGAAACACCCTGTCTGTTTAACTCAATACAGTTCAACAGCACCAAAAAATAAATCCTCCAAAATGTTCAGTAAGTATAATCAACACCTCTCTCAAACTGTTAGACGTACAAACATTCTAACTTTCACAAAGGGAGGATTTATTGATGGTGATGTACATTACATTGATAATGTGTCGGTGAAGATTCTCAGTCATCCAGGTCATGGTAATCTAAAGTATATTCAATTCAGGGTGAGCATCAATAAACACTAATGCAAAATTTTTACTTCTAGTTACGACGTAGGCTCCATGTTGACGTAGAGCCTACGCCATAACCTACTCCATAGCCTGACGTGCACCTCCCCAGAAATGTAACTGCACGTCACGGCGACACAGACCTCATGTCTATTTCTGTAAGCTAAAACCATTTCCCTCAGTGGAAACAAAGCTTTTATTTAGTTCAATTTCACGGACAAGAAACAATAAATTGTGAAGACAGTAAAGCCTCCACTAAAATAACATTTTAAGTCTTGTGTGTAATTTATCCTTCAGGGATTTATCCTGGCTTCATATGAGCATAGGAAATCTCCACTCTTCGCTAGGCTAATCTGTACAAAGTAAAATGCCATAGGCTCGTGCTAATAACGTTACCATTTTATACGTGTTTGGAAAATGTGTTCAGTGTGACAGTTGTTTGATCGGTGAATCTTGTGAGTTGTAATGGAGCCAAACTATGTGCAGTTACCTTTGTTAAATGCTGCTGTTGTCCCTGGTTTTATATGAGAGGAGGAAGACATCGCTAGCTGCTAGGCTAATTTATACAATGTAAAATGCCATAGGCTTGTGCTAATAATGTTAGCATGTTGTATTTGTTGGGAAAATGTGTCCAAATAAAGTCTTTGTCTCTGAATGCTGCGAGATGTAGTGAAGCTGATTTGTGTAGTTGTGTTTGAAAATGTCTCTATTAAGCCATGTTTAATGTGTGTTTAATGTGTGTTTTGAATCAACTAAACTTAACAGCACTTCACAGAAACCTCCACCGCCAACTAGTGTTTTGGAGGTGTAACTTCAGAGTGACAGGGACAGACCACCGCACAAGTTCAAATGCTCGTGTGTAGGCTACAGCATAGGGTCTGCCGCACAACTATAAATCTCGCTTAAGGGGATAAACAAAAACAAAACTGCATAATGTTATTCAGTCGAAAAAAAATCCAAGAGATAGAACACAAATGCACCATTTAAAGAGGAAACACAAGTTTGAGTAGAATACTTAAAAGTTGATTTTCGCCAGATTTTAATTTTCTTTACATTAGCCTTTCCTGCTTCAAAAAGACAGAGAGAAGTTTTCGCTGCATTGTGCTGTGAGCAGAACACTCTCAGAGGACAGTTTGCAGTATGCTTCTGGTTATTCCAGATAGAGAGAAAAAGAGGCTCCTGATGAGTCATAAGATTTCTCCTCTCCCTGCTCCTTTTCTTATGTTCTCATCTTATAAAATGTTGTGTTGGGAGTGTACACCAAAGTGATAAAAATAAAAGTGAAATAAAAAGCAAAAACAGTATATTTCGAGTGATGATAAAACTAAGAGCAATAAACAACAGGATGAGTTGTGTTGCAAATGGTAGTTTTATGATCCAATGATTATTGTTCATTTTTATTTAGTTTTTTGGGAACTGAATAGTAACAATTAAGTTAACTAAATACAAATTAACAGCAGTATAAGAATGATCTCTTTACAGTCCACCTGTGGGTTTGTGTGGAAACCTGAGCTCCATACCTGATATTGACTAAAGTGCCACTGACGTTTCTGATCTTCATTGGAAGAGCTGATCCTGTTCCCAAGAAAACCACCTCTGGGTAATTTTCTCCTTTCCCTGCAGTAAGAAATATAACCAGATGATACACTTTTTCACATCACTGGAGGACCATCCACTTAAAAGTAAGAAACATTTTGTTGGGCTTTAAAACTAAACGCATCCCTCTAGAGTTTAAAGAGGAGAACTCACCAGAAAGCTCTGCAGTGTCAGTGGAGCAAATCTTCCTGCACTTGTCTACTTCTTCCATAAAGTTTGGGACCTCAGACGCCTCTTTCACAAACTCCTCAGCGTTGCAGGAGGGGATGGCGTCTCTAACGAATGAGAAACAGAGTCAAGAAGACACACACCACTGCCTGCAACAACAAGGCAGGGAAAACAGGGATTCTTTTCACATCTGACCTTGATGCGCCTCTACAGTGCTTGACAGAAACAGCGGAGAAAAAACACTGACACTTGTAAGACGAGGTTAAAAAAGAAGAAAGAAGAAGAAAGCGGCTGAGCGCAATGGTCCATTCCAGATTGTTTTCTGTGACAAGGCAGCGCTCGGAGCTGCAGAGTAATGTCGGCTAAATTGGGGGGATTGAAGGACAAACTAACCTTTGCCACTCCATTACGGGTCTGAGCTGGAACTTGAGCAGACACTCGGCTCTGACGTTGGGGACGTGCAGGGCAGCCTGGGCCTCCTGGGGGATAAAGACAAAGTTTTGATGTTTTCTCATGGCTACTTTTTATGGATCATACTTGATTTATAACTCTGTGAACTCTGCCTTTTAAGCCAAGCAGAGATATAGTTACTTAAAGCCACTGCAGTAAACACTGCCATAAAAACAGGATATAAAAACACAATAGAGCCAATGGGAATGATAATGAAATAATGTACTGTGATAAACTCTAACATATGATACTACCCAACAAAGGCAACCACAGTAACTGCACATTTGGTCAAAATTGAACTATGACTGAAATTAAACCTTTGGATATCTGAGCCATCTTGTGAAAACATTCCTGCTTCTATCCTGTTCTGTTCTTGAGAAAATAAGGTGTAAAAATTGCAATAACTACAAAATCCAACCAAAACCCAAGATCACCCAAGAAAAACTACAGTAAGCATATTGTGGCAAATGGTAAACGTACGAATGAGGATGATGAGGATGTGTTAATGAATATAGCAGGATCAATGATGACGATCATGGTGATGATGTGAATTAATCTTACTTGACGATGAAGTAAATATTACCACAAAATAATACTTGAGGGTTCTTTCAAAATGTCTCTGTTACTGCTTTTAAAACAGACTAATAGATTATAAATGAAACAAACAGAAATTAAATCTAGTAAGAAATGAAAACAGTTTCCCGCATACTGAAAGAGACACTAAAACTGTAATTACTCCATTTTGTCTTTGCATTAGCTGTACGGCTGTTTAAAGGTCCAGTGTGCAAGATTTAGGGAGATTTAGCGGCATCTAGTGGTGATCACTGCAAATTGCAACAAGCTGAAACTCCCCCTGGTTAGAATTCCTTTAGTGTTCATTGTTCAGGAGTTTTATACCGTGAGCCGAATTATCCACAGAGCTCTCTTCCTCTCCGAAACAAACAGACCAGCTGATTAAAACCAGTAAAAACACTGAATAAAGCAGCTTCATGTTACAAATCAGTATTTTTCTAATGCGGTTTGGCCTGTTGGACACAGGCCACTAGCCCAGCACCTGCTGATGTCTGCTCACCTGTTTTCCCTAATAACTTAAGATCCTAGGTGGTATTTAATGCAAAATAAATTATCCAGAGAGGTCTCTGGACCAGTTGATAAAAACACCAGTAACCAAGGAACACAGAATAAAGCAGTCTGACATAAAAAAAAACTAAGGAAAAATGTTTTTCCATGCTCTTGTTGCAGATGGGCTGCCGACTACGTTGGCCAGTGGTCAAATCGTTAATTTTTAACAAGGGGGGTGCAATGTGGCTTTGATTTTTTTGTGTGGACACATAATCAAATATGACAGCTAGGGATGGGTCTCGATTTTCGATTTTCGAATAGTCGTTTTATTTTTGAAAAATCGATTTTTTAATGCGACTATTACTATTCGCCGTCTTATTCCCCCCCCCCCCCTTTATTTGACATGCAATTCAGCTCCTAACCGCACGAGGGCAGTCTAGGATTGCTACAGCGGTGTGAGATGCTCTTCTACAAACAGGAGAAACATGCAGAGACTACTACTCCATGAGGAATGTCCGCAGTCATTCGGGCTTTCATAGTCGAGCGCACTTCCGCGTTTTAGTTTCCTGTAAAAATGAAAAATCCCTGCGATGTGAAAAATACATGCCGAGCAGTCACTGGTGTGCGCGCACAGGGCTTGTGGACGGCGAATACTTGCCATGATTTTTGAATAGTGTTTTTGCTTGTGTTGCCCATCCCTAATGACAGCACAGATGTGCAAAATTAATCAAGATAAAGAAAAATGGCATGACCTATATACCTGCTGCCTTTAAAAAACACAAATAATGCAGTAGTATTGCTATTGGAACACAGACAAAAAAACATTTTATAGTATAAATAAGAGTAGTTCTGAAATAGCTGTGAAAATGAATCTTAGAGTCACTCTTATCCGATAGACATTTCCTTAGCCAGTTATAATTTCTCTTTACCTGTGAAGCCTTGGGCTGATAATTGATGCTGCTGTCAGGTCCCTGTCCTGATACCTGCCTGGTTTCTTCCTGTCCCTCTTCTATCTATTGCAATAATATAGATAATAAATGTGCAAAGCAAAATTCATAAATAGAATTAGGAATAGTAGTGGTGACATAGCTGTGGAAATTAACCTCAAAGTCACTTTTATGCTATAGATGTTTTTTCTCAGCCAGTTATAATCTCTCCTCACCTGTGAAGGCCCTGTATGATCATCCTTGCAGGCCTCTGGTCCACTGTTTCCTCCCTGACCCTGCTCTTTCTACTGTGGCAATAAAGATTAAAAAAATATATGTGCAAAGCAATAGTGAGCACAAGTTCTTATTAAGGAGAAGTGGGTTTATTCCTAGCATGACACTAGCTAGCTAACGACTCAATATAGGTAACAATAACATTCGTATTCCTGTTAACTAGCTTAACTTGATATATTGGCATCTATTAATTAGTCATCATTTAACCAACAATAGATACATGCAACAGCATTACTCAACTTACACGTTTTTTTTGGAAGAAACTGTGCAAGGTTTGTTGCTTCTTGCTGGCTGGTTTGCTGAACATAGTTAACACAGCAGCACTGCCCAGCAGCACATGTCTCCTCTGTGCCATTGATTCTGATCACAACACCACAGCACTTTTGCCAACACCTCAGTAAGAAAAGTAGCTATTGGCTGTCCTAAAAGCCGCTAGAAGTCGCTAAATGACGTCATCACCTAATTTGCATAATCTACCATATGCATGTAATTGTAATGGACGCTGTAGGAGAGAGGAATAATGTCGTGGAAGAGACAAAAACTGAGTAAAAAACACCCTGAATATGTTTAGAACTACAAATGAACCTTCTTTCAGTGATTTATATTAGACAAAGAAAATTTTACATTTACATCCCGCCCTGACTGTACGCCAGGTCGGGATCATCCAATGGCAGTTCCACACATGCACGATTCACTTGCAGTCTGGACGCGGAGGGGTTAACATCTCCTGCTCTGACTGCAGCTGGGAAGGAGGTCTGGGCCGCCTATGAGTGCTTTGGGGTGAGGGAAGGGCCCACGGCAGCATCCGCTGCTCATTAAGAAGAATAAGAACGATTCGTGCTTTCACGTCAGAGTCTCCGAAAGTCTCCAATAACATCAGAAAAAGTTGCTACATTTGTCGCTAGTCGCTTTTTTGAAAAAGAGTCACTAGAGGGGTCTGAAAAGTCGCTAAATATAGCGACAAAGTCGCTAAGTTGGCCACATGTGTATGCGGCCTGGAGCTGCCTTCTCAGGGTGCGTTTAAAGACGGCTCAGAAAAATACGTTATCAAGTTAAAAACGAACTGAACGATTGTAAGGGCTGTAAAAAGTGCGGGGGACGGAGGGCACAGATACGGGAAGTGCGGGGGACATGTTCCCTGTGCTCCCCTCTCAAATTACGTCCGTGCCTGAACACACAGATTCTAGATTAGCAAGGGGGAGGCTTTTTGCTCAATTTTCTAATAAAGGGGATGGCATCCTCCCTCATCTCCCCCTCAATTCGACCACTGACGTTGGCCAACGCGAAAAATGCAAAACACTCTTTCTAGAGCCAGCGTTTGGTTCCCATTCTGGGTTACTGTACATACTACTATATATTATATTTACAGAAATAAAATAATGGGATGTATGTGTAAAGCTACTAAAACTATGCTAAGAATAGCGACAGTGCTCCTATCAGTAATCAGTAACAATGTCTTCCATCAGCGTTACCTTTGATCTGTAAGACTTGAGCTGTGGAAAGATCTCTGGGTGAATCATGTTCAGCTGAGTCTGAAGCTTTTGACTCCTGATGTTGTGGACCGTACAGACTTGTTCATTAAGGATCAGGTGTTCGGTTGCGGATGGAAACCTGCAGGAACACACAGAAAACTCGCAGCCTCAGTATGTTTAATTGAAAGTTACAAAAAAAAAACAAACAGAAATCTCTGTGGAGTCTGGTTTCAAGGACGGAGAATCCAAACCTCTCCATCCACTTTTTGTATTGATCCGTTGTCAAAACAGACTCTGGAGTCATGTGGACGACCAGTGCAGCAGGGTCCTCTGTCCCTCCTGTTTGATATCTACAGAGGAAAAAAGACTCAAGTTAAAAACTATGAAGTTCAGATGAAGAAACGAGCATTTATGAGTTCCTAAAGTGTACAACACTGATACTCTAACCGACTACCTTCTCAGCTGCTGATTGGTGCAAACAGCTTCCACAAACTCCTCAGATGGACACTCGACGACAATAAACACTGGTCCGGGGTCAGCAGGAGTACAAACCTGCTCCGGACGGATCTAAAAGACAACAGAAAAAATTAGCGTCTGCAAATACAGTTCAGAGCTGCAGCTTGAAAAGAAGGTCATATTAGACAGAGCATGTTTATGCAGCACCTCTTTTCCTTCGTATGTGACACTTTTCCCGTCCTTCAGAGCTGTTACGAGAGGACCAATTGCTGCTGTGCCTCTGCGGGGAAAAATGGATAAATACAATACAGTTTCTAAACGGCAGCATAATTGCAAAACATTCAAAATGCTAAAACTAATTAATGTAGTCTTAAAAAGATTGGTCAAAATAAAAATCTGTCATAAATTTATTAATATTCTGGGTGATTGGACTGTGGATCCTTTGGACTCTGTGATACTGTGATAAACATTTTTCATTTTCCATTATTTTCTGACATTTTATTGACCAAACAATTATCAATTAATCATTAAAATAATCAACAGATGAGTTAAAATGCCATGTCAGAGTCAGCTGAGCTCAGCTTTGCCTTGACAGCTTGTGTTAATACTTTAATCTGTTAAATCACTGACTTAGAAAACACACCATATTAGACCGTATCTTATCTAAATCCTTAATGTTCTGTTCCATTTAGATTAAAAATCCACTCACACAGGCAAGCCGAGCTCCCTGGCTTGAAGGACTAAGAAATTTCCTTTCTTGGGGTGAAGCTGTAAAAGTAGAGAAGGAGAACTTCAGATACAAAGTTCACTCATGTGTACGTCACATACAGGACAACGACATTTTTAAAGTTTCTTACCTTGCATATGAAGGAAACCACCAGAGAGGGATCTCTGGTTGTGTTTCGTGTGTCACCTTCAAGATCTGAGAAACAAACAACAAGGCAACATTATTCAGCGTGTCACTAAAAACACTGTACAGTGCCTTGCTCAAGTATTCACCCCCCCCCGATGTTTATCCAATTTTGTTGAATTACAACCTGTAATTTAAATGCATTTTTATTTTTGATTTTTCTGTAATGGAACTACACAGCGTAGTCAAACTTTGTTAAGTAAATTTAAAAAGAATTGTTTTAAAATATCAAAAAAAGGAACACCCAGTGGCTTACTGAGTAGAGCAGGTGTCCTATATACAAAGCAGTCCTGGGTTTGAGTCCAGCCTGCGGCCTTTTGCTGCATGTCATCCTCCCTCTCCCCCCTTCACACTGAGAGTCCTATCTAATAGAGGCAAAGGCTCTATTAGATAGGCTCAAAATTATCTTTAAAAAAAAAACTGGAAAGTGCTACATGCATATGTATTCACTAGCTTTGCTCTGACGCTCTGAAACTCTGAACATCCCACTGAGCACCATTAAATCCATTATTACAAAATGGAAAAAATGTGTCACCACAACAATCCTGCCAAGAGAGGGCCGCCCACCAAAACTCACAGACCAGGTGAGGAGGACATTAATCAGAGAGACAAAGAGACCAAAGATAACCCTGAAGGAGGTGGACAACTCCACAACAGAGACTGGACTACCTGTACATAGGACCACTTTAAGGCATACACTCCAGAGCTGGACTTTATTAAGAGTGGCCAGAAAATTCAATTTTAATTTCATATGACCAGAGCGACATCTTCCATATGTTTGGGGAGACTACCACATGCCTCCTGTGAACTCCAACATGTTCTTATCTCTTTCATTAAAGGAATAGTGCACCCAAAAATGAAAATTCATCCATTATCTACTCACCCATATGCCGAGGGAGGCTCAGGTGAAGTTTTAGAGTCCTCACATCCCTTGCGGAGATCCAAGGGGCGAGGAGGTAGCAACACAACTCCACCTAATTGGAAGCTTTTTTTCTGATCCATGAAGCTCAGCTCTGTGGAGTGTACAGCTTCAAGTGGTCATATGAACATATATTCAGTCTCTGCTGTGGAGCTTTCCAGCTCCTTCAGGGTCACTGGTGGTCTCTTTGTGGTCTCTCTGATTTATATCCTCCTCACCTGGTCTGTGAGTTTTGGTGGGCAGCCCTCTCTTGGCAGGATGGTTGTGGTGCCATATTTTTTTCTATTTCATAACACCAGATTTAAAGGTGCTCCATGGGTTGTTCAGAGTTTCAGATATTTTTTATAACCCAACCTTGATCTGTACTTTCCCAGAACTTTATCCCTGACCTGTTTGAGGAGCTCCTTGGTCTTTATGGTGCCACTTGCTTGGTAGTAAATCTTGCTCGGTGCTGCAGACTGAGGCCTTTCAGAACAGGTGTATACTGACATTGTGTGACACTTAGATCACACACAGGTGGACTTTAACCAATTATATGAGTTCTAAAGGTGAATGACAGCACCAGAAGTCTTATTTAGGGGGGCAAATGCATATGCATGCACCACTTCTCAGTTTTTTATTTTTTTTTTAAGTTTCAAAACAAGTTTTTTTATTTTACCTAATTTCATTAATCTCGACTATGTTGTGTAGGTCCATCACAAAAAAGTCCAAATAAAAATCCATTTATTTCCATAGTGCATTGCATTGTGGGACAACAGTGTCTGTCAACACCACTCACAATTTTAGACAGCATGCTTTCTTATTCATACCCCAGTTTGACTTTTCTACCTAAGTTAGCAGCCAGGAAATTTGGTACAGACATTCATGTTCCCCTCATGGTGATCTCTTAACTTAGGATGGTGAACATGGTAAACAATATACCATTATCCCCCTCAGGATTAAATATAATAACTTCTTTACCCAAGCTTCAGGATTTCCCCCTCCCCCTGGACTCACCTGGACTGCTTGTACCATCTCTGCAGGTGTTATTGTGGATGTCGTCTCTCCGGGGAGAGGGAGGACTCTGAGATGGGCTGCTCCTGCCTGATTTGGGGGAGAGCTGTCTGTCTTCATTCCTTAACTGGGCTGGAGAGTGAAAACAGAAAGAATCAGCGGTCACCCTAAGAACACTGTCAGAAGAAGTCTCAGTGAAAGTCAAAAGCAGGAAAGACTCACCAAATATTGGCACCTGATAAACAGTCATCGTTTCGTCCGTGTACGTCTCTTCAGTGTACGGTCGAACCGCTAGAGGTGTATGACACAGTAAACGTCACACAAGTCTGATATCATACAGAATGCAGTTATCTAATTCAGTTTAGTAACTTCAACATACACAGCTTGATGTCTGCTAGCGGCCCAGAAAACGACTTGATGGCATTCACATAGTTCTCCTTTGATGAAAAAAGGCAGAGAAGAAAAAGTCAATACATGTTTCATTAACAACCTGCTGTAAGCATAGATAAAATAGATACTGTATGACTGAGCTTCTCACCAGCTGCGGAGGACCAGAGAGCACACACTCTGGAACCCCTGTGTCCTTTAATGTTAAGATCATCCCTGCAGAGGAAACAACACACAAGTGTTCAGTAAAGAAAAACATATATCATCAATCTCTGTTATGTTTTTATCAATCAAATCAATGTCAGTCAAAATCTAGCTAACAGCTACATTTGGTCTACGGAGTCTGGCATGTTGCACTGCCTGCCATGTTTCCACAGTAGCCCAGAAAGACAACCAAACACGGGCTCTCCGTAGGGCTTTTCGCATGTTTTTGCATTTTCACTTCACCCACTGTAGTTATCAGCCCCTCTGCTGCGAGTCGAACAGTGTCGGAAAAACACAGATTTTTATTTTGAAACTGCTTTATCAAGTGCCTTTACTGGTTTAAATCATCACATGGTCAGTTTGCTTGGTAGAGGAAGAGACCTCTAAAAACCTCCTGAACAAAGAAAACTGAAATTATAATATGCATTCATTTAGTGATTTGTAACTCCTAAATTAAAAGTATTAATTTGTTAGAGGCCATTTAATGAAAACCACAAACAGCTTTTCAGTAGTATTTTCTATGAAATTGACCTTTTAAGTTGATATGGTGAAGATGTAAACAAACAGCTGCTTATTCCCACATCCAGCAGTTAGAGAGCAACATCATCATTCATTCCGAGTGGTGTTTGTATCCACCTGATTATGTAAATCCAATATTCACTCTCTTTTAGCTCTGTTTTGGTCTCCACCAACTCCTGAGGGAAATATCTGTCTCTTCAGCTGCTAAATGCCCCACAGTGTCCACCAGCTAGTCTCTAACTGTGTCCGTCTGCTGTTTGCTGCAGAGCAGGGCACGTACAAAGCTTTTAAAGCTTTTTCTCTGAAAATGACACACATTGAGAACGGTGAGAGTGAACCAGAACAGTAAAGTTGCAGCCGGACAATGAGCTGAAACTCACAATAAAGCTCCGTAAAGCTGAGGGGAGCTGCAGATTCCAATTTATCAGACAGATGTTACTGACCTGATAAACCTCCCACGTTCTCCCAGCTCAGTCTGGTCAGGAAGATGTTGTCCAATCGAGCAGCTTTCAGTCTGTCAGAGGAAACACGAGAAAATTAGTTCTCTCTTGTCTTTGCCCATCAAACTGTCTTTGTGGATAAACAATACGTGTTCAAACCAGCTTACTTGTGTTCCTGCATGAGTCTCTGTGTTCCTTCACCACAGTTGAACAGGTATCTGCAGCAGAGAGAAAGTTTGACAGGTTCAGTGTATAAATAAAAAACTGTCGGACCTGAGGCACATTTTGCCTCGATATACTGTTGAATAAACTGTGGTGTCATTTTGGGCCTTTGCAGACAGTGTGAATTTTTCAGGCTTAGTCATAACATTATGTCCTTAATTGTTTCTTCTAAACTTCAGTGTAGAAGAAGGCTTGCTTGTCATTTTATTGTAATTCACAGGGGTGTAACAATACATCAGTGTGATAGATATGTAGATTGAGTGACCAATGATCCAATATCATCAATGCAAAGTGAAAATATTGAAACATCTCGTCATCTTTAAGATATGCCTTAATTAATATTCCCATGGCACGTCTGTGTCACGATTTTCATCCAAATGCACGTCCTCGCTGAAGATTTAAACAGTGCTGCAGCCCAGTGCCAGACAGACAATGGCAAGCAGCCAAGAAAAAGACAATAAGGATATTTACTGATATTGGCTCATATTGATCGCAGGCCCCTGAGTTGCATTGTTTTATCAGTGTCCAGAGAATTGAAATAATATCGCATCGTGGTAAAACTTGTGATTTACACCTCTAGTAATTCATAAAGGTCAGGTAGGACAGGAGTGCCCAGACTACAGGTGCTTTGAGGACACAAACGTTCATGTGAAACTCTTGCTTAAATTATTTAAATATGACTTATTTTCAAATAGGGCTGCAACAAATGATTATTTTTCTTGTTGATAAATCTGCAGATTATTTTCTCAATTAATTCGATTGGTTTCTGACTATAAAATGTCAGAAAATGGTAAAAAAAAAAAAAAAAATTCCATTTACCGTCACACAAGTAAAGAAACCATAAAAAATATTCACATTTGAGACAATGGAATCTGTGAATTTTTATGTTTTCTTTAAAAAAAAATACTCAACCAGATTAATCGATTATCAAATTAGTTGGCGATTAATTCAATAGCTGACAGCTAATTGATTAATCAAATAATTATTGCAGCTTTATTTTTAATTACGCTAAACCTCATTTTATTGAGGACCACCTGAAAGCATCCTAAAGACTCTTTAAAGGCCAGGACACTCCATCAATTTACTACTGACTGAGCTCGGCTTCTGTGGCTCAGGCAAACCTTTTGATAGTCTTTTAAAAAGCCTGTGATTTCATCAGGGTTATCCCGATGTGGGCTATATTTTACACTTTTAAAGAAAGCATGTATGTTAATTTGCCCCTCTGAAGTCCACCAACTTCATGGAAGTGCAAAGCTGTGCCCCACCCCGTGGTCTCACCACCTTTACTGGTTGTAAGTTTCATGGCTGTTTCATGTGTGATTGGGTGTAGTAGGAATTGTGTGTGCACTCTTTATATTTGCAAGTCTCCAATTCTGTAATGCAACTGCTGCACATTAATTGTCCTCTGGATAAATACAGTTGTATCTTATCTTACTGACACACCCTGGAGTAGTCTGCACTTGTACATCACTGCAGTGGGTTGAGAAGTTAAACCACTAGAGGTCAGCAAAAAACTGAGTTTCAGTTGATGTTAAATATGTCTCTGTATTGTTAATGTTTCAATAATGATGCCAATTATGCCATATTTTCTTTTAAAAACAAGATAACACATTGCACCTCAAATATTTATGTGTGTGCTGGTTCCTCAGTGAAAGCCTGGGCTACTGAGACTCATGACATATGTGTGTGTATGAATTACCTGTTGTACTCGGAGAAGACATACAGAGTTGCAGCACTGTCTCTGCTCCCAGCACCCACCACCTGCAGGTACACCGTGGATGGTCCGTGAGCGTCCCCTCGTTTGTTCCTGCTCTCTTTGGCCTTCAACCGCCGCAGCGGCTCCTTCTGCTTGGCTTTCCTAAAACCCAGCGGCTGTCTTATATCTGGGTTATTATTATTACTAGTAGCCATTGTCCGGAAAAACTGCAAAACAGTCCGGCAGAGAGGGAAATCACAGCGGGCGACAGCCGGAGGGCCAGCAAAGAGAGCTCTGCCTTTAATAAACAGAGGTATAAATGGCCTGAGCTTCAGATGGACCGTATTCATATTAAATACGTTACAATAACTTAAAAAACACGCACCGACTAATCAGTACATGCTTGTTTAAACATTTTCACACGCTTTTTAAGAAGAGTTCATTACCTAAAAGTAGCTGGGTGCGCTTTCAGCAGGACTTTAGAGGTTGCTTGACACATGTGACACTTCTTCCGGCATCTAATGATGACGTCCAACAGTCTTATCGCTCATTGGTGTGTAGAGTTGTTTAGCACGTCTGTGGACCAATCACAGCGGCGCTTTAAGAGAGGGAGGCGGGGATAGAACTGTTTATGAAAGAGGGGTTTCACATTAACAAACTACTACAAAATAAAACGACTTAAAATAATATAATACATATTCAGCTCTTAGAGAGTATCTTAACTGTCATACAACTCCAAAACATTATGCTTATTAAAGGAGAAGAAGGTAAATACAAACAATGCGATAATTAAAGCCATTTTATTATATATAAATTACATTTATTTAAGTAAAAGTGCTACACTTTGAAACAGCATCTGTGAAAATGACTTCCTGTCTCGCCAAACACTGCTAATTAATGAGTTGGAAACTTAGGTGGAGTTTTGTCAGTGAATGAAACACTGTTAATGTTAGATAAGCATAAGATGTTATTGCAGTGGTGAGAGATGTATTCACATTTTAAAGTAAAGTAGCAGTAGTACAGTGTAACAATAATCTGTTACAAGTAAAAGCCCTGCATTCAAACTCTTACCTAAGTAAAAGTAAAATATAATTAGCATCAAATAGACTACTTAAAGAACCAAAAGTAAAAGTACTCATTATGTAGAGTGCCCCATTTCAGAAAAATAAATTACTGAATTAGTATTATTGATGCAATGATGTGGTTATCACTTTAATGTTAGAGCTGGTAGAGGTGGAGCATATTGTAATTACTTTAAATACTACTAGGTAGATTAACTAATAATTATAATAATAATAATAATACATTGATTTAAATTTTGTATTTATCAACATCTGCAAAGTAACTAATGGCTAAAGCTGTTTATTAAATGTATTAGTGTCAAAGTAGAAAGTAGCATAACATGGAAATACTCAATAACAAATATCCAAAGACTGTATGTAGCTAGCAGTCCTAACATAAATATAGGCTGTTTAGTTATATCTACCACTGTGTACTTGGGGGTATAACAGGAATGTTTCATAAATATATTTAAATTTACCCAAATTTTATCACGTTGTTTGAAATATGATTTTAGGGAGGGTACATCAAGAAAAATCTCCCAGCAAATTCTAACATCTATAAGCGAGTTCACTGCTATGAAAATTTGGTCAGTAATGCTCTCGTGGCTGAGTAAATATCCCCACTTAGCGGTTTTAAAGTCTTGTAGGAAATCCAAGAACAAAAAAATAGTTCAGGTTGTCAATGGTGCACTTAGAAATTTTTCATAGGGGTGGTCAGATAGAGCCACTGAAAGTCTTGGGGTGGCACACTGACACAAAAAGCTATAACTCATTTCCAGGAATCCAATCAGGATGTTCTAGTAGGCTGTACAGGCTAGTTGAAAACTATGCCAGAGAGTTAAGGAATTACATACTGATATACTTTGGTTAATGTTATTAATTATCTGATGTCACTAAAACCGGTAGGCCTACAGTTAACATTCTGAGTTCCACAACAATCCTGTTTTAATGTGTTATGTATCTGTATAAACTCATTGTTCTTCAGATAGGCTGGTTGTCCTTTTTTAAGACAAACATATAACTTCAATTTGAATCAGCACATAATATACAAATATTTACTGGGAACAAGCCTTCTCAGGTTTAGGGGAAAGGCATGGGTACTTATAGAACCCATGTTCATGCAGATATCTTGAGGTGAGTTCAAGGGAACCCTTTGAAAATGGCCATGCCAGTTGCTCCCTCACCAAAATTTAGCCAAACTTGGGCACATTATTTAGCCCTCTTCCCAATAAGCTATGCTGACATGATCTGTACCAATCGATGCCTTAGGTTGTCTAGTTTCACAAGATAGCACTACCTAGCTTTAAAAATGATGACACCACAGTAATGTTGGCCTCCAATTATTTTTTCCAGGGGGGCACCACCGCTTACAGCAGCAGATAAACATCTGTTCTTGCAATGAGATGGACTATATGATACTAGTACATACGATAATAATAATAATAATAATGATGTAGCCTCAGTGTCTCCATACTTTTGGCCTAGTATATCCTCCTAATGTCCCAGTAGCTGCATAGTAACACATGATGAGTCATCAGTTGTACCTCCTCTCAACAGAAATTGAGTCAGTTGCTGTATCATACAGTAGCTTATAGATCAGAAAATGAATAAGGCTGAATACGCAAGTTGTTCTTTAATCATCGTCTTGTTCTTGATGGAATAAAAAGCATGGACAAACTGTTAGTAGCACAGATGAACATCAGGAACACATGCAGCATCAGAGCAGTATTAAAATTCAGAATATACGTATACAAATCTCCATATATTTATGTTCAACCCATTCAAAAAAAGAGACAAAACACACTTTTCCTTTGTCTTTCTTTATTTGCATTAGCATATAGTCCACTGTACAGTGAGGACAGCAGCCTCTCGGCACCGACTGGACTGCAGGTCTACCATGATTCTGACCACCAACGCTTTTAAACTGCTTTATACCCAGAGAAGCAAAGTTCCATTAAGATACCAAACACAATGCTTTCAGTTACGTACATGGAAGAGGTGGGACAATTCACAAAGAGCATGATTCCAGTATGTTGAAGAATCTCCAAATCAAATACTCCACGATTTTTGGTTCTATAAATACAAGTTCCACGTTATTATTCTTATTATTATTTTTTGTCTTAAATCACTGTACTAACCACTGAGATGTGTCCTCATTAAGATGAGTCAAGACCATATGATTGATTGATTCAGCTGCTATACTTACATGACTGTGAGTCCGTGTGTTTGTGAACAAGAGAGAAACAGAAGTGTTGATATATTATACAGACATGACTGAAATGAACACCACTGTAATTGCAAATGGTGTTTTTTCTTTTTTCTTTTAGGCTTTACAATTCTCTTTTAACACTGCAATAAGGGGACCAAGCAAATTTACACGAGGATTTGTTTTGTTTACTTTCTTGTCTTTTTTTTTTTTTAATGTATTTGTTGTTGCAGACTGGTGTATATCTATTGATGTATTTCTATCTTGTCGTGCTATCAGTCCATATACATAGGTGAGCTGGGAGACGCCGGCATCTGATCCATGAGCCTGCAGACGTAACCAGCTACATCGACCGAGCGCTCCTCGTACATCTGGATAAATGGATCTTTCTGGAGTGGAAAAAGAAACAAAGTCGAGTTATGCAGTGATATAAACTCCTACAAGTGGAGATAAAAAAAAAAGAGTGTATGACTGGATTTAAGTCAGTTTAATACATTACTTTATGAGTGTATACAGACAGGCCAGCAGCCTTCATGACAAACTCACCAGTAGCTCTTTGTACTTTGGCCTTTTCGACTCATCCTTTGTAAGGCTAGAGAAAGGATAAAAAAAAAAAAAAAGGATGCAGTTCAGCCATTTGTCCACCAGGGGGCTACTAGAGCAAGCAGCCACTGGAGTTTGTACTCTGTGGCCCCTTTCACACATGCACTGCAAACCTGAAATTATCTAGACATTTCCCTGAGGAACTGCATGTGTACAAACAAAAATGACTGAATCAGTTGGCTCGGACATTTAACGGACTTTATCTTGCCAACTCCCTAGTATAAAGTCTGTGTAATGTCCGATTGAGCCCATGTGTGAATAGGCTGCCCCAGGAATGAGTCCTCAAGCCTGCAAATGAGTTAGCATGTTACCATTCACGGTTCCCTCATCTTGAAGTCGATGGGTTTTTGGTTAGATGCCTGACATAAGGTCAGTGGTTAACACAAGCTGAGGAGATTTTCACGTTTTGCTCTACAACATAAAATACATCAGTAAATACCCCACTTATGAACTTTGGAACTTCTGTATGTCTTACAAAAGGCGGTTGCTAACAAGTGGCTAAATGAGCCTACAGAATGTCATTATGCTGAGCCACACTGAACACAGTCTTACAGTCTTGTTATGTTGTTGACGTTAGGTCATGTGACTGTAGTGTAGTTTGTTTATAGCCTAACGTTAGTTAGCTTTTTACTTGTGGTGATGTATTTAGGCTTCAATAATCCTGAAAATGAAAACGGTGAAGATTATTTTATCATAAACGTTTGTCTGCAACAGAGCTTATTTTCAGCAATAATCCAAAATCCAATGGAAGAATCCCAAAGACTTTTTGACGAGGGAACCAGGGCGACGCTAACTTCTGTGTCGGCCTACAGAAACTTCATCCATGGGGCACTCTACAGAGCAGGCAATTGTCCACAGAATTCACTATGATAGAGTAACTGAGTTGATGGTGTTTCTCTCATGCAGCTTGTGCAAACTTGAGGAAAATAAGGGTAAGAAGGGTAATTTATACAAAGACAGCAAGAAAAATGTCTCAATGGAGATATGATATTCTAAAACTTCTGTTGGTAAGAGCAAAAAGCGAAATCATCAGACGCATTGACACTAACGCCCAGAGACACTGTTGTTATGACAAAATTACAAACCAGCTATGACACTGTAGTGTAATTCTATCTATTACAGCCAGGTGTTGCTGCAAAATGCATTCCTAGCAGTGTTTCCTTACCACACGTTGACAAAGGAGATGAATTTGGGAGAGAAGCGCCTCTCCTCCGAGTTGCTGAGCTGTGGCGGGTCTCCCCTCACCACCTGGGTCAACTGGTCGAACACACTGTTCCACTTTGGGTAAGGGAACCTCCCTGTGGCCAGCTCATACTGAAACACATGATGTACATATAACATGATCAGGACAAACTCATTTTTTAAAAGTACAAATCAGGTGTGAAATAACATTAGAAAACCCAACAGATACAAACATATAGGCATACTGGGTGTTCTGCAGTGTTTTATAGTGGAGAAACTAAAGACCACCTTCAGTAACATCATAAAAAATGTATATAAAAGCAGTAACCTTCTGGGGAAAAAGAGCAGAGGTGCTATTTCTCACAGTTAATGCCATAAATTATTCATTCATTACTGAACGTATGCCAACTGAGTGTCCCATTTTTATGGGAGAGAACATGCTATGTGATGTCC